TTAAGGTTAAAAAGATTTATTAAATTTTTTAATTCAACAATTTAAAGAGACTTCTATCATAACATTTGATACATCAGTATAGAATATTGTTAATATGAAAAGGGAAAATGGAGGAGATGAAATGAATACATTTTAATAGTTAATTGACTGCCCACCCCTTAATTATCAAATTTTACAATCTAAACTCTCATATAAGTTAAAATATTTAATCAGAAATTTATAAAATAAGTTTATTTAAGGTCATTTAACATGGCAAATAAGATATATATGTATATTGAAAATATAGTTTTAAAAATATATGAGAGGAGTATATAACTACATAAATTTTAAAGAACATGTAAATTATAGATTTTATACAAAAAAATGTAGTTTTTAATGATTATTATAAAGTTATCTGTGTTATATCAAAATCAAAAAATTTTTATAATAATTATTAAAACTTAGATAATTGGTATATTATAAAATTATTAATTTGGAAAAAAATTACATTTTATAATAAACGAAACAAATTTTTGCTACAGTTTTCCTTTTCGAAATCGAAGTTATACTAGCAAGATCATATTGTTCAACCGGCCCCTTTTATTTTCTTTGATAAAACAATATATTTTATATCTTAAATTTTTTTTATATATCAGAGTGTAGGTGCATCCTGAACAATATTTTTTCTCTCCAATATATTTAAATTGTCATCGCATTTATTGCTAGCTCTCAAAGAAAGAAGATAATCGATTAATATTTTTCGTCTTTTATCAATAATCTGTAAATAAATTCCGTAAAAAGTTCATGGAATGGGTTAATTTAATTTCCAATAAAGTTTTTGTTAATAATTTTATTATAAAACTTACTTTAATACAAAATGAAACCATGCATATAAAAATAATATATTTAACGAATCCTGGAAATGAATGTCCTGGACAAAAAACTCGGACAAAAATACCCTGGGCAAAAAGACACCAGCCATAAATATCCCTGGCCAAAAATATCAACAGACAAGAAGACACCGGGCAAAAAGATATCGAACAAAAAATATCGGACAAAAATTCCCTTGGACAAAAAGAAGCTAGACTAAAATACCTCAATTTTAATAAATTTTTAAAAAAGTTTAAAAACGGAAATTAAAACTTTTTTGATTAATCTTATCAACGCGGCTCTAAGTATCTGTTAGATTTTACCGAATGTAGTGGATTTGGTGTCAAATAATATTAGATTTGTCATCTAATATAAACTTGAATCCTTTGTTGCATAGCCCTATACTTAACAAAATATTTAAAATTAATTATAATTAATAATTCTTTTTATAAAAACGGTAGATAACTAATTACATGTAATTGTGTTTACTAGAGTATAATTATAATTACAAAATTGCAATTCTTTTTATAGTAAAATTAAAAGTTAAAGTAAGATTTGATTTAAAATCATAAAAAAAGTAAGGAGAAATTTTATTAAATAGTATAATAGTGATCTGCATCGGGCCTAATTTTTCAAGCCCGGCCCGGCCCGAAATTTTTTTAAAAGAATTACGCCCGGCTGGAATTTATTTAAATAGAGAAATTAATTTTTATAATTACTAAAAGACATATGTTATATGTCGTTTAGTTTCAATAAATTAAATCAAATATTTTTATTTTACAAAAAAAATTCAATATAAAATTGATAAATTTAGATATATTTTAAAAAAATTTCTAAGTCCGAACCGACCCGGCCCGAACCCGATTATTTTAAATAAAATTAGGCCCGGGCCGGACTCGGGCCGGGCTTAACTTTGCAGATCTCTAGTATATATATATATAATATAATAAAATTTTATTATATTATAATTTTTTTATATTTGAATAAAGGTTTTACTCCTTCAATATAAAATACAATCTAATCATTTATATGCTATAAACTATTACAAACATTATATTTATACATTTAATGTTAAGAAATGTAATCAATATTGAATTTATTTAATATTGAAAAAAATTTATAACTTTTTTTTAAAAAATATCTATTTTTCAAACAATTCTTTATTTAAACGTGTTCTATAATATTTATTAAGCAAAGTTGCAAAAGCTAATAAGATCACCAATGCTCTAGACTTTTTATAACAAAATTTACCAATAAATCATTAATTACTTGATGATTTGAAAAAAATTCTGGTAAAGTTTATTTAGTATTAGCTTTTGATGATAAAGCTTAAAAAAAAATTGTGTTACACATAAAAGTAGTGAAGGTCACGGTCCGGTCTTTGGTCCGGACTGGACAGATACCCTCGGACCAGACCAAAAAACACATTTTTTCAACCTAATTTAATTTGTTTTATCATTTTATTAAATATAATAAGAGTATTATATAAACAATAAAATTTTGAAGATAGTGATTTTGTGCTTGTGGAGGGCATATTAAAATTAAGAGTAGATTGTGTTTTTGAGATATTTTCATTTTCATCATTAGAAATATATATTTTATGTTTTATCAGATGTCTGCTTAAGGTACCTAATTATTTTATTAAGAATAAGATTATTTTGATAATGAATTATTCAGACAGTTTCTTAAGAAAAAATAGAACTATATAAATAATAACCAAAATATTTTAAAAATAATACTGCTTATTTTGATTAATTTATTGCTTAAAAAATTATAAACAATTATTTTGTTACTTGTTGTTAGATACATTAAATTTGGTACTGCAGTGAACACCTACTCTATGTTTTTTATTGGGACTATAAGTAAAATGTTTCTTGGACAAACTTATGGTTTTCATATTGTAAATAAAAAATAAAATCTAAAATAACTCATCTAGAAAAATATCATAAAATAAAATATACAAAAAAATTATATTAATTGAATAGTAAAGCAAACTTAAATAATAATAAAAAACCGGTCCGGACCGTGGTTTGGACCGTAAAAAATAAAAAACCGGTTCGGACCACGGTCCTCAAATAAGATTGGTCCGACAATCGGTCCAGTCCGGTACCAGTCTAAGACCGATAGGACCGGACCGTTGACTTTAATTACATAGAAGGATGTTTTCTCTAAAGTAACAAGATTAGGAACAAAAGACTTATATTCAAATAGACCATCATATGTTTTAGGAAATTACTGGTGGTTTGATTGTGGACCTTTTACAATTTGATCGCAAAGTGCAGAAGCAGACTTTATCATTTTTATCAGATTTTTAAAAAATTGAATTGAATATTGACAATTTAGATTTATCTCTTACTGTGTGTAAGATTATCTGAAGAGCAATTATTGGAATTATCGTCAGAGTTCAGGGTAAAAGTTAAATACTCAAAAACTCATTATGTTTTTGGCAAAAATATGAATGAAATATTGCAGTTATTATATAGTTTTAAATATAAAAAATATGAATGAATGATTGCAATTAAGCGTTTTTCACTAATATTAATAATAATGAGAGTAATTATAAATGTAATTATGAATTATAATTATAACTGTTGATTCCCAATTACATGCCTGAAAAAAAATGTAAATAATTATAATTAATAAGTTCTTTTTTTAAGTGGAATAAATACAGTTATTAATTAGAATTACAAAAATTAATTGTAATTATGGAAATTATTTCCCAACCTTGACCTGATTTATTTAATTTTATTAACTATGTAGCGGAAATCAGCTTAGATACCAATAAAATATTTATTGACTATTATCCTTTTTTAAATTTATTTTATTTAAAATTGTCTCTTCGATAGGTAATTGTATAATATATAAAAGGATCATATATTTTATGCGTTAAAATCCAGAAACGTTAAAATAAAGAAATATTGTAAAATTAATATTTAAAAAACATTGTGACTCAAAAGGCTAGAAAAACGGAAAACGTCATCGGTTATCAATATTTATCTTTCTTAAAATAGTCACATAATTTTAAATGTATATTTTTGATTTAATTATTATTATATTAATAAATATTCTAGATTAATGAGAAATAAAAAAAAACAATCTGTAAAATATAAATTAAAAATAAAGATTTTATTCAATATTATGTACATTCAAAATTATGTAAAATTTCATTTTCCTTAATTGGTTTAGATTATTTTAATATTTATATATGAAAAATCAATTTATGTGGATAATTGAATATCGAAATATACTTTTGATAAGAAAGCCGCTGCCCAGCATGGCATATTATATTTAAAAAAAATATTTACATAACATTCAAAATTTACTAGCGACTGAAAGTCTGGATTTAAAGTTCTATAAACTTCTATAATATATGCTACTGATTAGAAAATGTTTTTAATTTTATTTTATATTAAAAATAAATTACAATAAGTTATTCAATATTATACATCTGTTTCATAAACTTATTATTGAACTGTTAGATTAGTTTTCTCTGCTTAACCAATAAAAATTTATAAAATTATGGCACATATATTTTTAAAATATATAAATTCACCATCAATTTTGGCCATAATAAAAAACTCTGATGATATAATTTGATCTAACATTTTTCTTTTTAATAAAAGCACATGTTTTTTTTCTATCACTTGTGATTGTGATTATATGTTAGGTAAAGATGTAATAATTGTAAAAAGATGTTTTTTTTATTAAATTTCTTAGATAAAAATCTATTAAAATTAAAAATAACCCCTCCTTTTTTTAGCAATAATCACTCGATAATATATAATTTAAAAAACTGGTGATAATATATAATATATGATGTTATAAAATTTTAAATTTTTCTATATTTCATAATCATTAGCATCTACCAAAGATATAAAAGTTATTTAGAATTAATTATAATTTAATCGATTTTATATAATACTAATAATATATTATTTGCCCACTTGCTTATAATGTTTCTCAAAGGACCAGAAATTTAAAAAATTTAGCGGGAAATGTTAAAACAGAGAGAGAAGTGGTAAATAATGATATATCTGGGGCTCGATTCGGAATCGAAACCACCCAAACATTATAAACAAATTTTATATGCATATAGATGAATATTTATTACATATTGCATTATTAACTATTATAGTTTATTTTATTTTTACATCATAATTTAATATAATATTTTTTATAGGTATAATATATTCTATCTGCCAAAATATCTTTAAGAGATGGGCTAAAAAAATTTATTATTATTTTTGGCAAATAAAGTAGTATTTTATTACCTATTTTATATTCACCGATTTTAAATTCGTTTAAATTATAATTATAAGCATTTGATAAATCTTTTTTCTATAGTATTATTTCCATTTTTAATTCTGTAATCGGTTTAGTTCTGAAGACCAGACTTGCTGAGGCCAACCTGTTCTTGTTTTTATTTTGTTTTCTTTGTCTCCGTTTTGCTTTTTGTGTTTGCTAGCGTTTTCTGTATGTCGCATTTCGGCTTTTATGATCTTTTTCTTTTTATTTAATAAATAAACATATTTGATAAGTAAAGAAAAATTATATAATACATCATCTTGTTTTCCATAATTTGCATGATCTTTTTACAATTTTATTTTTATAGGGATAGGCTAATTTTCTAACATTTTTTTAAATTAATAGGTTAATTTTTTTATTATTGAAGTTCTTAATCTTATCTATCTGCTAAGTTTTAGAAAGTGTCGTAAAACGACGCTCAAGACTAGGTTGCAAAATTTTCAACAGACCCAAGGTAAGCTAATCTTAGGTCTTAGGCGGCTGTTAAAATATACGATGATAACTTCATGTTAAATAAATTTTTGGGCCCTTAGTCATCGCCTTTCTTAAGTGCTGCTTAGTTTTGTAGTTGTTATGTTACTAGTCATGGAACCTTACATTTTTAAAAATGGGGGATATATTTTTTTTCCTTCGCTTAAAAACTTAATATACCTCATTAATAAAAAAAATTAAAATGTAAAGTTCTACCCCAAATCATCTAAGCCTAACACAACCTACTTAATATTACCATAAGATATATATACACACTGGTCTAGATAGTTTAAATAAGGGAACAAATCATCTGCACATTTTTCGAAATATACAGTTAATTAAATATGATTTTATAGATTTCAAATAATTTCCACAGTTTTTTAAATAAATGCACAGTTTTATAATTATTTCACAGTATTTTAATTAAATTCGCAATATTATTAATTTTACAAGTCATCAAACACGGTACATTCAGTAAAATCTACGCGAAGCAGCCGATATATTTCTGTTAGATACCGAACTCTACAGTTTAAATTAAGGCCTTATACTAATCTCGTGGATCCAGCTATCGGTTAGCTTAGAGCTATGGAACAAAGATAAGAGGTGTTTAAATATTTAACTATATAAGTAAAATCTAACAGGTCACCAAGTCATTAAGTTTCTGTTAGTTTTTACAAAACTACGGGGTTCAAACTAACCTGATGCCAAGCTTGTGGAAAGCGTTAGCGACTTAAGGCTATGAAAACAAGGGTAAGTGTTATTGTTTATATTAAATGAAAAGAAATACTAATTTTTTTAGACAATAAACCCATATTCAGTAAAATCTAACAAAAACTGAAAAATAATTTTTTTGAAACTGAAAATATGAATAAAAAACTTTGAAATCAATTTGTGAAACTAATTATCTAGAACTGGGAATTTCGATTTTTCAATTGTGCAATTAAATGATATCTTTTAAGTAAATATATTAAGAAATTAAATACAGTATAAATTAAATAAATTGATTATTCTTATAATGTTGCCATTTATAACGTTTATCACTGTTTTTAGAATTTTAATTTATTGCATTAGGTGGTGGTGGCGCTACATATTTTAAAAATTTCTTGTCCCTGTAAATACTAATTGAAATTACTGATGATGAAAATGGTAATTTAAAAAAATTTTGGTCATATTTTAAATTATTGGTTAAAAGCAGCATATGTAAATCCTTTGCGCGCATATACTTGGTGTTAACTGGCCATACCCAAGATTCATGTAATTTAAAATTTGTATTACAAATGTTATTACAGTATATATAAAAAATACAATAACAATATTAAATATGATTATAAAGTGATTAACATATATAGTTGCATAATATAACATAAGGGACCCGAAAGAGGCGGCTAGACCTTATGGATTAGGTGAACTAAAAAATTTATTTTCAAAATAGATAAAATTATTAACATAACTGTTTTTATATATTTTTTAATATACCTTATATAATAAGGCCTATTCTTAAATAATTTATTTGAAAAATATAGTCACTGGTTTGCCCGCAAACACATTAATGCTACCTACTAATAATATTAATGAAATCGGAAATTTTTATGATGCCATTCAAAAAAATTTGACGGAATGTATTTGAAGATGAGAAAGATTGAAAAGTTTTCGCCTTAATGAAAATGTTTTTTTTATAAGATAAAGAGTTTATGCCTGAAAAGATGCTCATCAAAGCATGACGCAATATTTTGAGTTCTATATAATTATATATTATATTGATTAACTAGCCTGGCCGAAATAAAGAAGAGTGTGAATAAAAAGCTAAAAATGGGAAATTTTCTTAAGATTTATTATAATTATTTTCAATATCATGTATTAAAACGAAAGATGCATAATATTCATGTATATATTTCTAGAGGCCAAAGTTTTTGAATTATTTTGAAGCATACGTTATTTCTTTCAAATTTCAAGTAGTTTTTTCCAAAATAAACTTATAAGTTTCAGTGCAATATTTTTAAAAAAATTGAAACGAATAGGCCTTAAACAAATATGACCAACCTTCTTTACCTATCAATTTACCTCAAAATTGGTGAAAACATTTATAATTGTGATATGTACCTTATAATAAAAAATATATTTATAAAGATTGTTTCCTGGCGGAGACTAGAGTCATGTTTTTGGCTCATGATGGAAAAAAGAACTACCTTTAATCAAATATATTATGAAATAGTAGCCCAAACTTTATTCTACAAGATAAAGCTAAAATCAAAGCTATATCTTTAATAGTTTTTTTAGGTAGATGATTATGAGTGAAAGTTTATTGGTCAGTCAATGTTGATTTGTCATATTTTTTCAACAATTAATCATTAATATTAACATTTAAGACAAATACATATATATAAAGGGAATAATATAATAGTTTAGTAAAAAAAAATTTATTATGATTATTTTGACCACTTTCCATGTCCGCTTATTATACGCGAATTCGAGGTGAAATATACAAAATATGATATAAATATTATAATTTTACATTCATTTTTGTATACTCGCCTCGAATTCGTTCAAACTGTGAATTTAAAATTATATAGTGATATAAAGCAATATATTTCAATTTTTTAAGAATATTGCTTAACATTTAAGAATCTTATCTATGTAAAATATTAAAAGTTTAAATGAGTAAATTTCCCTAACAAAAAAAATGTAAAGGCGATTTACATTCAACAGAGTAGAAGAGACCAGGGTTATTCGGCGCATGCTTGTCGGTTCAGAGGATTTTATTTAAAAATCAGAATTAGAAATTCAAATTTAATTATGTAATAGTATTGTTTAATATGTATATTTGAGGTGAAAAATATTTTGTACCCCTCAGCTATTTAAATTTTTTATGATAAAATGTGTAATTCAGGTAAAAATCAAAATGTTTTCACACCACATTAGGTAGCATTAAAATATGAAGAGTTTAAAAATAATATAGTTGATATTATATGAAATTTAAAACCGTCTGCGCATTTCAGAAAGTTTCATAATCATATATCATGATTAAATATATTTAGAAGGTCTTAATTATATTAGTATCTAGTGGCGAGTAGTAGAATCAGGGCATCAAATTATACTTACAAATATGATATATTATAATATATTTATATAATAATATAAAATAAGTATTCATTGGCTACTAGTATTATGTATTTCGATTCCATATGATAATGCAATAGAATTAGGAAAAATAAAAAAATTTATTAAATATTTTACACATTTTTTATAATTCAAATAATGTCATATTTTGTTATTTTTATATGAATTATTTTTATAACATTGTCCATGAAATAGTGGAATAATAATATTAATTATCCTTTAGAAGACGTATTAAATAAGAGTCCCCAGTTTGAGGATTGTTGGCACAAAAATTTACTTTTACTGGAATCAATTTTAAGAAAAAAAGTATAAAATATTAAAAAAATTTATCAATGTATAAGATTAGGTAGGTGTTTGGCATCTCAAGGTATTTTGTAAATTCAGATACAATAATCAATTACAGACCTATGATGATTTTGACAAAAAGTGCTCGGACTAGTCCTGTACAAAAATCATTTTTTAAATTTTTATTTATTTGATTAATCAATCGAATAAATGAACATAGGTAGGTGCCTTAATATAACTATACATATGTGAATATTTTAGAGAAAATAATAGAGAATACGGTAGAGGGGATAGCCAGTCAACCAAGATGACTACTTCACCTTGGCTCCCTAACCTTTTTCTAAATTATTACGTTATACTTATTTTTTTTGTTCGATGAAAAAAATTATCCTTCTAATTATTGATAGTTTATACAAATAATATCATTATGCTTTTACATTAATTACAAAAATTAGTGCTGGTAAGACTTATTAAGTATTCATATTAAGGTATTTAATATTAATTCATAAGTAAGTATTATTATCTGGCCAGGTTTTGAGTTTTTCCATAAAAAATTATTATTAAATATGCAACATGATATAATTAAATCCCTAAATAAAGAATTATATAGTGAGGTCTGATGATAAACTAAGATGTTATTATTAATTAAATAAATATTTATTTAGATTTGAATCGTGAAATAAAAGCGTTAGCTCCTTATAAACTTATTATATATTGTAATATTTCCTATTTATAACTAAATTTATTAAGTAAGATAACCAGTTAATATACAAAGTATATGGTCAGTTAAAGCATACCAGGTTTTGACTGAACCGGAAAAAAACTCAAACTAATCTAGCTCAAAAACTATTTTAAAGATTTGATTCAAACTTAATTTATAGATATTAAATATATTCGTTTATTTCCAATTCTTAACCCCTTGTTTTGACGAAAACAAAATCGTGGCCAGTCATACCATTTCTCCCCTACAGGTAATAAAAAAATTATACTAGTAAAAATGATATAAAATACAAAATTATGATAAAAGGGGTAGGAGGCACAATTTTGAAAAACATAATTGAGTTCCTAAAAAAGGAATATATACTAATAAACCATTTGAGACCAAAACTCAATAGATAAAATAAGGGGGTGAGAAGGGGGGGAGGGGGTTCACTCAATATATCCTGTTTATTCTATAATACTAAATTCTTTATCAATTTTATTTTTATGTTTGTTAGAATAATCCTATTTTAAAAATACCTTAAAAAAGGTTGATATTTCAAGTAATTTCAAAAATAAATTTTTGAGTCCGAGATTGTAAAGACTGCCACTGAATCTCAACTTTCATAATCCGATTTTACTAAAGGAATCAGAAATTTAAAAATTTAATAGCGAGAAAAGTTGAAACAGAGCAATATTATAACAAGATTCATGGGATACAAAATTAAAAGTGAAAACTTTGTGAATACAAGACGATCGGTTATTATACTCTGTTATATTGTAATCTTTAAGATGATTTTCGCATGTCTTGTGCGGCATTTAACGGGGTTTAGTAACATTACCATAATTTTGCAAAAGGTCGCTATGATGTTGATAAATGATTTGAATAAATATAGTAATTCACTAGCCAGATCGGCACATAATTGCACACAGGTTAAAAACTAAATTTTTAAATATTCATCTGGCAGAATTTTTTTTAAATGATGGAATTAAAATTTCTGTTTAATAACCAAAATTTAAATTTAATTTTTTACAATAAAAAATTTAATTATGTTTCAATTTGACTAGATATTTTTTGATAAAATATACTATTTACCAATTCTTCATCTTTCTTCCTCCTTTCTTCCTTATTTAATCTTCGATTTGATAAATCGGCCTTGAAATACTTCCTGAATGTATCTTCTTCGCCAGCAACCACATCATCTGTGGAGATTCCGACTAGATTAGGCACGAAATTTAGTTCGTAGGCATTACCAAAGTCTGTAAAATTATTGAAATTGTTAATGGTCGTAGAATTTGAGGAATTTAGCGTAGCATAACTAGAATGTTTGACTGTTTTGTCGGTTCCCTTCTTTTTATCGAAAACGTTAGAGATCGGGATAGAAAGGATACCCATCAAGTAAGCTATGTAACTAGTTGCCAGTCTGAGCGTTTTAATCTTTGATAGTTTAGTGTCAGCCGGCACATTGGGTATACGGTCCCTAAGATCTGCAAATGCGCTATTAATGCTTTGAGTTCTTCTACGTTCCTTTTTGTTAGCCGATACACGCCTTTTGACTACAACTACGACTTCCCCCGTGCCATTGGATATTTCTGTGACAATGTCTGGATCCTCTCGCAAATAAAATGAATCGTTAGTCTGAGAAACATTGATTTCGGTCATACTGCTAGATCTTTTGTTGTTGTTTCGGTTGTTATTAATGCCATGGGAAGTTTTAGGAATTTCGATATTGGGAATATTTATTCCCCGAATAAAATTCGTACTGTCATAAATCATTTCTGAGTACGTATTCATAAAATCTTCTGATAGTCTCTGCTGGGTCTTTTTACAGTTGTTGTCTACTAATTTCTTTCGCGATTTAGATGAAATTGAATTTGAAGATGATTGAGGCTTAATATTGGTAACGTTCGATAATGTGGCATCGTAAGAGCTAATGTTGATTTCCCAATTATTTGCAAAAACTTCGTATCTTTGATTTTTTATCGTGTTTTGAATGTTTAGATAATCCACTGATCGTTCGACATTGTAAATGGAGTCATCATTTGTGTCAGAAGTGGATGTGAAATAAGGTGTACCGGATAAGCCATTATCATTTATCTCGTCATTTATCAGAGATTTGAGTTTGCAACCATTTAAATATCTAATATTTTGATATCTTTCATGTCCCAAAGAATAATACGAAGATTTAAAATTTTGATCAAAATATTCTGAGGAGGAAACGAAATAATTATGACTATCATTTACTTTATAATTAGCTCGTTGAGTTTTATCATGATTGACATTTTTATCGATGCTAATAAAATTTGTTTGACAATAAAAGTCATCTACTACATCCATACAAAGATGGCTATTATTGCAAATTGATTCATGGACTGGTGAACATGTAAAACTTGTCATTATAGACCTGTTTAATGTTGTATTTTTTTTAAAATATATTATTTGTATTATTTTCCTCTAAAATATTTTCCAGTTTCTAGGTTCAAATTTTCTTTTCAGTAACCATATTGCTATCATCATTTTCATATACTAACCACATTATAATTTTCAAATATACGTTGTTTTATTTTTCCTGCTTTTTATAATTTATTTTAGATATATAATTTGTTTTTTTAATATTTAAAAAATCAGCCTTTTAATTAAATACAAATTTTAAAATAATTCAAAATAATTATGAATAAAATGGATCCACTAAAGAAAAGAAATTCTAGAGGAAATTAGTATATTTCACAAATTATAATTTTATATTATTAGATTAATTTATATAATATAATTTTGTTAAAATATTGATTATTATTTTTTTTTATAATAATATTTCGATTAACAATTTTATATAAATTCATTTTTAAATAATTAATAAAGTTTCATATTAAAAAGTCAAAAATCTAAATTGTTTCTATTATTTTATTTATAAAAAAAGGTAAAAATATCCTAAAATTTATAAAGATTTTTGAATTTTACAAAATTAAGTATGATAAAGAAAGTCTTGTTTTAATTTTATTTTGCCTATTTTACAAACAAACTGATTAGAATGTATATTTTTTTAGAAATGAATGCAAGGCCATATCTAGGAATTTCACCAAGGGAGGTGTGGGGGATAGTGAATTTTAGATCCTTTTAAATTATTTTTATGAGCACCCTATATATAACTCAGCTTTTACACATCTCCCAAATAAAAAAGCCAATGACACCTCACCCAAATTACCTGTACCTAATTCTTAAAACTAACCGCTTATATACTAGTGTAATATCTTAAATCTGTTTTTGCACTACTACGACTTATAAAAATTCATGGGGGGGGGGGGGGGGGGTTAAAATTTTTTTAAAATTTTATTTATAAAATTATTTTGAATTGTCATTGGGTGGGGGGGGGGGGGTCAGGCTTTCTAAAAACTTTGAAGAACCAGTCCTCCATAAGATTTTTTGCTTTTTTAAAAAAGATACGGTTATCTCCCTTTTCGCAAATTTTTTTATTATTTGGAAAAATCGCCTCTTTTTTATGCTAATTTTGAATATTTCTAAAAACTGGTGGGCCTCAAATTACTAGTGACGCTGCTAATATATTTTAGGGAAGGCCAGAGTTTTGCAAAACTACAAGAGTAAACATCAAAAAATTATATATTACTTAATTATTTTTAAATTGTATCATCTTGTCCCTTTCTATTAGTTCTATAATAGGATTTAAATTCAAAAAAAATATAGACTTTTTTCTATTTATTTTTTTCTGAATTTGTTTGAATCTATGTATCTGTTATAGGAACTAAATTTTGAGCATAATAAATTTATATTATTTATTAAATATATTTAAATATATCTATTTAAATATGAAAATATTAAATCATAATCTCTTGTTATATTATAAGAGGTCAAATTTAATTTTTAAATACCTTGAAAAAATGGCTGGTTTCACCTCATAAAAAAAGGTTCCAAATATACATTATCATTGAAATCTTGATTTTTAATATTCGGATAAACACATATTCTATTAAAAAAATAGATTTTTCCTTTTATATTCCATGCATTACAAAAGTTATAAATTTTGTTCAACATTTAATAATAGTTGCTTATATTTATTTTTATAATTATAAATTTTTGATAAAAAAAATATGCCTTTAGGCCTCGTTTAAATTTGATTCATTTTTTGTTCTTAATTCTGATTCCTATTCATAATATCAACCTCAACACCCTTTTGGAGGGTTTTTAAATGCATGACATAAAATGATATCTTTAAATTACGTTTAGTATTTATTACTATTTTAAAATCTAAAAATCTATTCGGAAAAAAGAATCTAAAAAGAAAGAAGACGAACAAGGACCCCGCTTTAAAGTTTAATACCTTTAAAGTCACGTTTCAGAATAATTCCTAATTTATCATATCCTTGGCATATTAACATTATTCCATCTAAAATGCAATTTCTTTTTTCTTTTCGTTTAGTTTCCTCCTTTCTTTTATTATTATTATTATTTTTGTTTGTAAAAATATTATTTATATAATTATAATTAGTTCTTTGGCTTCTTTATAAAATTCCAGTAAATAAAATTAATCGTTCGGCACAACAAACGAGCTATTCTTTCTATAGAAACCATATTTAAAGCAACCAATCATCTACTGCCCTCCCCATAGTTATGCCACTTATTTATTTTATTTATACTCGTTTAGGTTGGTCAATATAATACAAAAGTTTCTCTTGAAAAATTATTATATTTGACTTAAATTCATTTCATCGATTAATTTCGTGCAAATTAAGAATGAAAAGTAAAATCAACAAATAAATATGAAACTGACATCCGTCTATCATATCTAAATTTTTTTCATTTATTTTTATTAAGATCATTTTAAAATAAAAATATCAGTATATTTTAGATTCCAGTGTCCAACTCACTCCAATAAATTTGGCCTATGCAAATGGGAGTCTAAAAATAAAACTATTTTATGGGTTGCCAAATTTTTTATTCTTGTGATTTAAAATTCCTCTTGCTAATTTTGATTCCCTTCTCTTTTTTTCATCCAATTGTGATTTAGTTGAATTTCCTTTTATTAGGGCTTAGGTAAATTCATTTTTAAAAATCGCTGAATTATTTTCACACCACCGCTAAAAGTTTTAATTTTAGTTGATATATTAAAATTTTATTTAAAGAGTTAAAAAAAATTATTTAAAAAAAATTATAACCGACAGACAACATATTTTTAAAAAATATTAACTGATTTTAAACAGACTTTAAATTTGTTTAAGCCAGTCATAGTGATACCACCGTATTTCTTGTTGTAAATGTTAGATTTAATTTGCATAAAGAATTCTTTTGGATTTTGTTGTACTTTATATTTAATTTGCATAAAGAATTCTTGTGGATTTATTGTTATAACGCGTGATAAAAATATTATATTTGAATAGTTATGATTATTAGTTATAAGAAGATTGAAAAAAAGTATAAAAAGGCCAATTTTTACCATACAAAGGATCTTTTTTTAATTATTAACTTTTTTGTATTTTATGTTTATTTTATTTTATTTTTTTTATGATTTTTACTATTATAATTTTGTTAATTTGATAATGTTATAATTTTGAATAAAGAATTAAAGTGGATTTTATGATTTCGTGATTCCTAATTATTATTAATTTCCTTTTTATATATATATTTGTTTTCTATTTTTATATTTAGGTTTTGATGCACAATGACAATCGCCTCATTGTGACAATAATTTTTTTTATTAAATACAGCAAAATATTTACCTCGAAGCATTATCGCGAATACATTACTCTTAATGTCGATAAGCAAAAAGATTTTATAATTAATATTTAACCTCGAATTTACTGCGAATACATGACTGCTACTTCAGTACCTTAAAATTATTATTGCGAATGTTCGCAAATATATTAAAGCGAATACCTTAATTTATTTTGCCAAATATTCTAGCGAAAAGCGAATATTTTTTGGTGATTACATTACAGTCAAAATATCTTAACGAATTCTTTTTCGCGAATATATTATCGAAAAAATTATAGCCAAAATATTATCGCAAATGCATTATACGGAAGTACTTAATGAATCACCGCTAATGCACTCCCGCAAATGTTCATGGTAATATTCATTGTGCTAAATGTTCTCATGATAATATTTTCTCTATAATGCACCCGAGAAGAGGTATTTATGATAATAAAACTATTACAAGCCATATTTTCATAATAATAAGAATAAGAATACGACTCAAATTTCTTTATTAAAAAACACCAACAACAATATCTATACATTATCAAAAAAATTACAAATCATAAATATCTAATTATCTAATTCTTCATGTCCCAAAATGGATAACAAAAGAATCCTTTCCCATCAACCCATCATGTGTTCATCACCTCCTCTTCTTCCCCCAAGGAAAACTTAATTCACCTGTCAGAAAATAACTGACATTTGATGTATTATATTAAATTTATTTCTTCTTTTTTTCAACAGCTACAACAAAAACGATATTACCTTTCGCTGAAAAATTATCGTGATAACGTGATATGATAAAAAAAATAAGCAGATCTTAAAAAAATAGTTTGTAAAAAGCGAATGTAGATACTTTTATCAAATATATAAATTATTTATTTGTGTCAGTGATCTGCATGAATTAGTTGCAGAGTTGTTAAAGTATCTAGATAGATTTTTGATTAAAGTATCTGTATCTAGATATTATTTTAGAGGTATCTGTATCTGTTTTTTGATACTTTTAAGATACATTTTGATATACTTTTACTTAACTCTTTTTTATATTATAAATAAAAATACTTGAGTGTAAAATTTATTTTATTTCATATGAGCAGATCTGAAAAGTTAGGCCCGGCTAATGTCCGGCCCGGTCCGAACGGACTTTAGGCCGGGCTCGGGCCTAATTCTATTTAAAATAATCGGGTTCGGGCCGGGCCTAATATTTTAAAAAAATTTCGGGCCGAGTCGGGTCGGACTTTGAAATTTTTTTTAAATATATCTAAATTTATCAATTTTATATTGAATTTTTTATGTAAAATAAAAACTTTTGATTTAATTTATTGAAACTAAACGCTATATAACATATGTCTTTTATTTAAAGTAATTATAAAAATTAATTTCTATATTTAAATAAATTCGGGCCTGGCTAGGCCGGTTTTTTTTAAAATAAATTTCGGTTTCGGGTCGGGCCGGCAAAACTTTTTTAAAAAAAATTTCGGGCCGGGCCGGGCTTGAAAAATTAGGCCCGATGCAGATCACCAATGAGCATATAAATTAATATTAATATATATATTAAAAAATTATATATATGTAAAATATTAAAACTTATATATAAAAAAGAATATATAAATATTAATTAAATATTATGTCCGAGTTATCAATAACAAGCAAATTCTGATATTACAATCCATCTCAAGGTATTTGCCATT